CAATGAATTCATTCCCAACTTCCCAGCGGCAGGAAGGTGTCCAGTCACCTCTAGGAAAGCAGGGCTCCATCACGCATAACAGTTACTTGGGAAGACAAAGGCCATCACTCCAAACGTCCGCCCTTCCTTCTTCTTCCGCCAGCTTTATATGCTGGCATGATGTCATATGGTGTGGAATAGCCCTTTGGTCTGTTGGGCGCAGACCAGCTGTGTCCCCTCCCAACTCCTTGTGCACCCCCAGCCCACTCGCTGGTGGGGTGGGGTGAGAGGCAGAAAAGGCCTTGACTCTGTGTAAGCACTGCTCAGCAATAACGAAAACATCCCGGTGAGCACTGCTCAGCAATAATGAAAACATCCCGGTATATAACACTGTTTTCAGCACAAATCCAAAACATAGTCCCATACTATGAAGAAAATTAACTCTGTCCCAGCCAAAACCAGCACAGGAACGGAGGATCCTGAAAGAAAAGACTGAACATACAAGTCACCACAAATGCAGATCTTGGCTCCAAGCAAAGGCAGGCTTGCCAGCCAAATCTAAGTCAGAATTTCCGCAGGTGGCATTTCCTTCTCCAGTCCTACATTTATTTTTCTTTCTATTCCTAATGCCCTTAGGTCTCATACCCTAATGTTCTTCACCTGTCCTTACAAGGACTAACTTGACTCTTCCCATCATTACACAGTAGCTGGAGTACTGTGTCTGGTCCTGGTCCCCACAATTCAAAAAAGATGTGGACAGACTGGAGGGACAGGAGGGAAGGGCCACGAAGTTGGTCAAAGGGCTACAAAGATGATCAAAGGGCTGGAGAACCTGCTCTGTGAGGAAAGACTGAAGGAGTTAGGTCTTTTCTCCCTGGAGAAGAGAAGGCTCAAGGGATGACCTGGGATACCTCACAGTATCCCAGTACTTAAAGGCGGCCTACAGAAAGGGTGCAGACTCTCTCTTCACAAGGAGCCACATGGAGAAGACAAGGGGCAATGGGTACAAGTTGCAACAGAAGAGGATTAATCACAGTATAAAAAAGACATGTTTTACAGTGAGAACAATCATCCACTGGAACAACCTCCCTAGGAACGTGGTAGAGTCCCCATCACTGCAGGTTTTCAACACGTGACCCAACAGGGTGATAGATAACCTCAGCTAGGCTCCCTTTCCCATGAAAGGTTGGACCAGTTGGTCTTTTGAGGTCCCTTCCAACCTGAGCTACTCTGTAAGTCTATGATTAGTAGCCTGGAAAACATCAGCATAAATAAGCCCCACCAACACCTTCTTGTCACCTCTGATAGCATGCTGCCCTACCAGGCAGCCAGTTTTGCCTGTGCTAAAATCCTAACCTGCCTTCCCTCCTAATAGATAATTTTGAAATGCAAATACTTCCAACTCCAAATGGAAAAGATAATTGCTCTTGTCTTCAATCTCACCTTATATGTTTGCATGTTGGCTTTATTAAGACACTCTGTAAATCATAATTGAGATATTTGCCCACTTATACCATTTTTCATCACATTTGGTTTGTCTGAGCACCTGCTGTGAAGATACACAGATTTTTAAATTATGTCAGGCTGTGGAAACATGAGCAGTAAACCTACAGTAACTCAGGATGTACTAGTTTTTAAAAGATGAGAACCTGAACGTGACCTCTAAAATTGATCCTATCTCACCCCAAAAGTGGGAATTTTTTATCTTGAGGTGAGTAAGGACTAAATTAGTCAGGCTTTCATATGTGCAAAGCCTTGGCATAAAAGACATTCATTTTCAGAATTAACGTCAGTGAAAAAATTAAAGAATGCCAAGGACAAGAAGCTTGAGAGAAAACCTAATGTCTAGATACAAAACCATAAACCACGTTATTGCACATTCACAAAAGCTTTGCAAAAAAATAAAATAATACAGCATCATTTTGCCACAAGAGACAGGTTTGATTGTGATTACCTACGTAGCTAAAACATTGCTAAGGCAACTATCACCATGGTATCTAAGCTTCTAAGACATCGGTGCATTTACCATTCAAGAAATTCTCAAATTATCACATTTCTCTGTAGTTACAGAACTTTGCTTTGCTTTTATTTCTTCTTCCTTTTTCTTATCTTGCAACGCCTCCATCAGCAACGAGACATAGGTGAGATGTTATCATGTGAAGGTGAGAAGAGATTTTAGCCAAGGAAAGTTCCTTTTGGGTTCATCTCTCTGGCGCCGTGCACCAGCAAGGGTTTTTTAGGCACAGATAGAAATTGATCCAGCAACCACCTATCTGGAGTTTGACTATAAAAGGGCTAATACAGTATTTAAGCCATGTTTGTTATCCCTTTTCATCCCTTTCATCCCAATCCAAGCAGTAGAACATCCACTTTTAAAGTACTAGTACAGAATTCATTTTTTCTTCAACTTTTCAGGTGCTAATAAGATCAAGAGGTTAAGTTATTTTATTTAAGAGGCTTTGTATAGCCTGTTTTTTGGTTGCAAAACAAAATGCTGGAGGCAAATGATGTAGCTGGTAATACATCATCATTTAAAACATTATTTTCCTGAGTATCAATAAGCACAGCATAGCATTTTTGCAATCAAAGATGAAGCAGAATTTAATCTTAGAGGCCATGAGGCTACAAAATATCACATCTGCTCCAGGAAGTATCCATAGATAGTATGATGTTTCCTGTCTTGTGCATCTTATTATCCATCAAAGCCTTTCTCCCACCAAGACTGGAAAAAACATTACCTCCGCACTAAGTCACCTTCCCATTATCAGGCAGAAACCCAAATTCTGAAAAAAAACTAGCTGAAGAGGGAGGGTGCGGTGCTGCTCGGGGAAGGAGAACATGGCTCTTCAAGCAACACTACGCTCAGCCCCCAGAGCATGCATCTGCCAGGGAGCCTCCCTCCAAAGGAAATTTCAAGCCAAACCTTGCCTGCCTGAGAAGTGTCTCTATAGCATCTGAGACTAAATAAACTTGTCTCCTGCTCTGACTCCTCTCTCAGTGTGCCCCTGTGCCAGGAGCACTGCAGAGGCCACGGGTACAAGCTGCTGTGAGGAACCTCCCGCAGCCTCGCACTGACAGAATACTGGCAGACGTGCTACCTAGGCACCTTTCTATATATGCATCTCCCTCCAGATATGCATATCCTGACAGCTTCCCCACAAATTAGACAGGAGATGTTGTACTGGCCTCCTGTGGCAAAGACACCTTGAAATGTCCTCAGCAGCAGGGATGAGAGTCGTTATTATTAGCCTGTGGCCCAGAGAACCAGGGCAGGGCTTCAGCGCTATCTCTCAGAAATCCTCCCATTGCAGGCTTGTCCTTGCATGGCCACTGCCACACGTATACCTGACCCTGCCATCCTGGGGACAGGGGAGAACCATTCCCAGGACTGGTAGATGGAAACTCAGCTGAAAACCTATCCCTAGAGCTGCAATCTAAAAACAAGGCACCACAGACACACATGCTCCCACACTACCACTGCCAAAACACACTTATTTATATTTATTTATTTTGAGTAAAGGAAGGGTACTGGGGCATCTAATGCTGTGATGTGCAAGCAAGAATTCTCAGTATTTCTTAATCGGTGTGTTTTCTTTTATAAATAGTGTTTCTAGCTGTAGGAAGGAGGTAAGACTGGTTTGGGCATAGAGGGTTTACAAATTACTTTGACATCCAGGACTTTACAGTATGTTCCAGGGTTTTCCACAAACCCCGTGCCTATCC